ACTCTTGTATTTTGTTAGGTTACTTATGGTTATGGTTAGGGCAGGGTAGGGGTTAAGGTTGTCATAGTTAGCGTTAGCATTTTTCCCATTGAAATGAATGAGCAGCCCCCATAAGGATATGTTTACCCTACATGTGTGTGTGAGTGTGTGTGTGGCTCGCGTCCCATGTCCCCCTGTAGGAGTGTTCTCCCATCCCCTGACCCCTCTTCCCCTCCCACAGTGTACCTGGCTGCCTGCGGGGAGACGCTGAACATCGACTTCACGCTTCCCTTCACCGAGTTCGTGCCCAACACGTGTAACACACGCTTCTCCCTGAGGGTGAGCAAAAGGCTCATACACTGTGTAAAGCACAGGCACTACGCAGTGAGAGTGTACGCGTAAAGCACAGGCTCTACGCAGTGAGTGTACGCGTAAAGCACAGGCACTACGCAGTGAGAGTGTACGCGTAAAGCACAGGCACTACGCAGTGAGAGTGTACGTGTAAAGCACAGGCACTACGCAGTGAGAGTGTACGTGTAAAGCACAGGCACTGCGCAGTGAGAGTGTACGCGTAAAGCACAGAAACTGCTGAAGCACAAACACTGTGTAAAGCTCAGACACTATGTAAAGCACAGTAACTTACTGCATAAAGCACAACTGCTAATGTACAGTATCTTACTACATAAAGCATAAACTCTGATAAAGTACTGAAGCTTATTATGTAAAGCACATACACAGCTAAAACACATTTACACAGTATCTCTGTTTAACGCGGTAAGTGTCTGTGCTTTATGCAGTAAGTGTCATTTGAAATCAGTACATAATACCACGCTTTGTTGATGATGTCATTCAGCATCGTTTTTTTTGAAGCACCAAAAGGACAGTACCTAGTTCAGTGGAAAAGCAACCCGGTTCCCACACTGACCCTTGTTTCGACTATGCCGAGCTGTTTATAACTGCTTTCCCTGCCCCGTCTGCCCCCCAGGCCGAGGACACGGACTTGCACCTCGCTCTCCCTGAGTGCCACCCCAGCCGGTACCCACTCCTTACGCTGATCAAAGGCTATCAGGCTGGCAAGCCTGCCCCGGCAACTTGCGCTGCTGGCGAGGGCCAGACAGGGGTGCCGAAGGCCGAGAAGCCGCGCTGGAGGAATATCACCCAGGCTGAGTGAGTCTCAGAGTCCCGTCATGGTAGGGTGAGCAAATAATCCATGTCAGGAGGGACATTTTGAGCTACTTCAGGTTTTGCGAACTACTTTAAAACCAAAAGGCTCCTATGCTTGGCTAAATAGTTCAGTTCTTCTTGCTCTTTGACTGGTTTATTTCATCCAGCTGTTTCACATTAACGTTAGTGGCACATGCATGATTTTTGGAGACTGACCAATCAGCACACAGCAAGAACTCAGTGCTAAAGTGAAATCTAGGTTTTTTAATTGAAATGGTAGTTTACAGTGTCCTCCCTGGATTATCTGGTCACCCTAGATCATGGCGCTATATAAATTACAGTCTGAGATGGTACAGCTCAAAAATTCATTTTGCAGTCTAAAGTTGCATTTCAATAATGTAGAAAGTCATCGGCTGGAGCTAAATTGAATCGCGCTGGGTCCGAATTTGTAGTTTGGCCAGAATGCAGAGCGGTTTAAATCTGATTTGCTGCTGAGAATGTATTTAAATGAGATGGCAGCTCTGTGCCGCTGACAGCATTGTATCCTCGAACCCTGGGTAACGACCTCTGTGCCCCTTGTCCAGGGCTGGCTGGGTGGACTGCTGGTCCGTGCCCAATTTCCTGCTGATCATCGACTACACCTGGCACCCCATCTACCCACAGAAGGCCGACGAGCAGCTCAAGCAGTCGTGTGAGTGTGAGCGTGCAAATGTGCGCCAGGCGCAGGCCCAGTTTCAGCAAACGGAGGTCAAGGTCAGGGTCAAGGTCAAATTTATTAATATAGCGACGGCTAAAATCAACCCAAATACTGCTGAGGGAGCAACTGATTACAGAGGGTAATACTTAGTGAGGAAGGTGACGCTGATGATGATGGTCATGCCTGACTTTGACCTCATGCATTATTGTCCTAGTTTTTTGTTATAATTTTGTTATATTTGTTATAAAAGTTGCAGAAATGGGTGACTGATGCCCTCCCCCTCGCCCCAGCCAGATTCCTTATTCATCCAGCCTCCTGGTGCCGGTGCTCTCTGATTCCCTTTTCAGGCCCCCGCAGAGCTGCCAGGGAATGGCTATTCCTGACACAAAGACCTCAATCGTATCTCAGCTTCTAAACTGTCGTTCATCAGTGTGGCCCCTAGGGGGCCCCGTTCTCTGTACTTCTGCTCGCGTGGCAAATGCCTAAAAAAATCCCTGAAAAGCCTAAAATGCCCGAAATTCTCTAATTGTCTGGGAACCTTCCCCTGACTTTTTCCACGATAGAAAGTCTGTCGATGTGCTACGTGTCTGTTTTAAATGACACCCGAGGGACATCTTTTAGGGTATCGTTTATATAGACGATCTGTCTTGGAGGTGCCTGTGTTTTAAATAGCTCCTTTTCTATTGGGTGACGTCCTCCCAGTGGTTTCGGAGCATTTAAAGTGGAGCGTCTCCATTAAGCGTCACCTATTAGCAGAGGCGCTAGGTCCAGGTCCAGAAAGTACAAATCCAGACCAAGATTTTGTTCCAACCAACCGGCAGAGTACTCTGTGACTGTGACTCTTGATGCTCAACTTGTGGGTTGAAACAAAATCTTGGGCCGGATTTGTACTTTCCGAAGCTGAACTTTCCAGCTTTGCTTATTTTAATGATGTGGGTCTAACTGCTTGTGCGTGTGTCTCCCTGTGTGTCTGCGATCAGTGTCGGAAATGGAGGAGTCCATGCTGTCGGTGTTGCGGCCCTCTCAGAAGACGGAGCCAGTGGCCCCGCCCCCTCTGAGCAGGATCCCGGCCGACCCCTCTGAGCTGCCGCCGGACCGGCTGCACGTGGAGATGGAGCTGTCCCCGGATTCGCAGGTCACCCTCTACGGGCCCCTGCTCAAAGCCCTCGTCTCCGTCAAGGTGCCCAGCACTCGTCATCCTGTGCAGCGTAGTGTTAGGGAGTGCAGCCTTTAGGGCGAGCAGTGAGTGACTCACAAGTGCCTCTAGGGGGCGCTGTCACCGTTATCGAACATCACGTTTCAATGACAACTAGCTTTGTCAGCCATACCTGCTCTGAGACGCTGACCTTGACCAGCTGAGCGGATGAGGGGACCTCCGGCGGGGAGGTAATTTTCTACTCTGAAAACGAAAACTTGGGGTTTCGGTGGCTGGAGGCTAATCCTGATATCAAGCGAGGATGCTCGACTCATTGTGGTCACCACGGTTACGCTCCGGTCACATCCGTCACGCCGTCTCGCTCCTCTGATTATGAGTAATTTTCCATCCAGCGGTTTAACAGTGTGTTTGTGACCCCCCCCCCCAGGAGAACTACTTCGGCGAGGATGACATGTACACAGACTTCGAGGAGGCCGCCTCCAGCCCGGTGCTGTCCCACTCGCCCTCCTCCAGCTCGGGCTGGACGGCGCTGGGCATGGACGAGAGCGGGCAGCGGGACGCGGACAGCCGGGCGGGTCACCCCCTGGCGCTGCGGCCCTGGGACATCACCGTGCTCATCAACCTGTACAAAGTTCACGCTCGGCTGCCCGTGGTGAGGGGGGGGGGGGTGTCGTCACGCCTCAGGATGAATTCATCTCCATCAGTTCATTCTTGGATCCGCAGATTTAACGCAGGTGTCTGTAACTTAGTAATCTGTAGGTTGTTTCTCCTGCTTTTTTCATGCGATAAACATGTTTGGAGAAAAATTACTAGTCATCCAGAAACAAAACCCAAAAAAAATGGGTTTATTGATCTTTGGGGTGGCGGATCATTTATCTTCAGTGAATTAAAGATTTTCAGAATAGATTGAAACAATAAATGCACAGAATCGGGAAAAAAAATTGTGGGGTTATCAGATTCACTACATTTCAGAAGTTATTCCCGCTAATAATGAATAACCTTTCTGGCTCGATGCGTCTTGCTTCCTGAAGTCCTGGTGAGATTTATGTCCTGCTGGTACCGACTGCTCCATTCTGACCTGGGTGCTGAGGGTTATCACAGTGAGAAGCGTGATTTGAATTTTGACCAGTATTATCATCATCATCATCAGCGTATCCTGGATCGTTTCCCACCACCTAGAGCCCTCGAGTCTTAGCGCCTTTGAAGTAATATGGCCACGTGACCCAGGAGAGATGCACAGTCATTTGTGAGCTCACAGTACCAGGCATGTGAGCTACCTTGCATTGCCATGGTAACCCCTACAGCAGCAGCGGAGCGGGGGGCTACTGCGGGTTTTGAGCGCATTTGAGTTTCTCTCAAATGAGGGCTCTTTGGTGGTCATGTGACCATTTCAGCTGATTCGCAGCACACAGGCCAAAGAACCGGCCGTCTGCACAGGATCATTTCTGTGCTCTCTCTGTCCTGATCCCACATGGTCACGCTCGTTTCACTGGGAAGTCAGACCGGTTGCTCCTAGTACAGACAGCTCAGTATGATCCGATTCTGCTGTGTGTGTCTGATGTATATGCATATCCGAGGAACATGGTGAAATTCTTTTTCTGGGACAATAAAACAAAAAACAGTGCAATACAGGACAGACAGCAGTGTAGTCCAAGACAAAACAGTGCGATATAAAAATGAGTACTCAATAAGCAGTAATCAATACTGTATGTGCAATGTGCAATGGGGATAAGGATGCAAATAGACTACAATATAGTAAAAAGAAAATATTGGTGTAGTGTTGAAGTGAAAAATGTGTAATGCATCACAATACATAAATCATTTTGAAATATGCAGTAATTTATTTCAAGTGACTTCTTGAGTTTTTTTTGCACTTGTCACAATTTCAAAATCCTTGCTTTTTTTGCTTTTTCTGTTTGTGTGTGCGCACGTGTGTGTTTGCATGTGTGTGTATGTGTGCGTGTGTGTGTATGTGTGCCCGTCTGTGTGTGCGTGTGTGTATGTGTGCACGTGCATGTGCGCTCTGTAACAGCACTGCAGCACTGACGGACCTGACGGCCCCTCCGGCTTCCTCGAGAGGCTCTGCTTCGAG